TGGGGTTTGACTGTTCAGGACGGAGCCCCGTGCGTCAGGAATCTCACTCCGTCTGTGAACCTGTGTGCCTGTGTAAACGTGATTTGCAAAGGACAAACGGAGCTGACCGCGAGGCAGCCTGGCCCCAGCAGCCCCAGCACTTCTTGGGGACACACCCGTGCCTGCCAGGGCTTCCTGGGGGCCGAGGTGGGTGTCACACCCCTCGGAATTCAAACACTTTCTAGGGGACCCCTGGGATAAAGGCTTCTTCCCTGTAGTCTGTCCGCAGTCTCTAGCAGCGGCACATCCTCCCGGAAAGGGGAAAGAACAGCCACCATTCTGAGAGAAAACAAGAGCTGGACTGAGGCACACTGTGAGGCCAGAGGCGCGGAACTTCGCCGAGGAGTGAAGCAGGAAGGAAGACACGCGAGGGCAGCTGTCCCCAGGAGACGGGAGGGCGCTCTGCGGTGCAGAGGCCTCTCCTGCGGGCCAGCGTCAGCAGAAGAGGGAGTGTGCAGCGGGGTGTGTGACTGCTTGGTTATTAAACAACATTTGCCTGACTTGCAGTTTCCATGCTAGGAAGCCTCATTTGCCTGACAACACCCGTCTTCTCCCCCAGGGAAGGGCCTTGCACTGTTTCCACGCTCAGCACCGTGAGGGCGGAAGAAGCAGATGGTGCAAAGCCAGAAGGCGGGAGGTGACCCACCGTAGCTGAAGCTGGGGGACAGGAAAGAGAGAAAGGGTACTAGTCCCAGCCTGAGCAACAGGAGCAAGGCCAGAGTGGCTGAGTTTGCGAACGGCAAGCTCCTGGAGCTGAGGGAGATCGAGTCCTGCCACAGAGGGGCCGACGCGAGCCACTCAGGTTCTGACTGGTATTGCAAAGCCCATCCAGCGGTGAGGCCCAAATGCACCCCTGTCCTCCCATGAACCTCACACCTCCCAACCTTCTAGGGAACAAAGTATGACAGAGCTGGAGGCGCCTGGCATCCAGAGGGCAGAGGCCAAAGGTGACAGACGTCATGAGTGCAAGGCTATAGGAAGTCCCTCCACCTGCTCACAATCCAAGTACCCTCCTCCTTCTAGGCTCTGTTTTGCTTATGCCAATTCTGACACCAAATGTGTGAGGCTTTCTCCTACATATAAGGAATACTGCAGCTCTCCAGGCATCAACTGGGTTATCCTACAACTCATTTTGACACTACTTAGAGTTAGTTGGAGTTAAAGCAGATAAAACAAATGAAAGCCTCAGTCCCATCAGACTGTCGCCCCCTTCAGATGCCAACCACAAGTCAAGGCCACCATACTTCTACCAACTAACTATAAGAGCAGGGTGTTGCTATAAGCCCCTCCTTGTGTTCAATACTTTGCTATAAATGGCTTACAAAATTCAGGGAAACACTTTACTGTCATTTACCAGTTTATGAAGGATGCAACTTGGGAACAGCCAATTGGAAGAGCTGCATAGGACAGGGTGTGTGGAGAGGGGCAGGGAGCTCCTGTGCTCTCTCTGAGTGCGTTGCCTCCATACGTTCACCAACTTGGAAGCTCTCTGGTTCGCGGCTTTCTGGGGCAGCTCCTTTATGTAGACGTGATTATGTGACTATTATTATGTAAACGTGATTAAATATTGGCCATGGGTGATTGGACTCAATCTCGAGCTCCGCCTCCTTCCCTGGAATAGGGTGGGGCTGAATGTTCCAGCACTCCAGTCACATGGTCATTCCAAGCTGCCCCCACCTTGGCACTATGCGGGAGCCCATAAGTGTCACCTCATTAGCACAGACTCAGCTGTGATTGAAAGAGGCTTATAATGATGATGAATAACAAAAGACATTCCTCTTACCTCTGTTACTCAGGAAATGACAAGCACTTCAGCTCTCTGCCAAGAGCTGGGGACTATATATCCAGAGTATCACACCCTCATACCTACTTCATACGTTGTTGAGAGCAGTAGATAAATAAGCACAAGATTTAGGAAACAGTTATAAATAAATGGCATCTTATTAATATTGATGCCTTACCAATACCTCAAATGTAGTAAGTCCAATCGGGTATAAACTCTTCAAGCACTGAAACTATTTCTTAATCATATCTTTATTTCTAGAAATCAATACACAGCTGGATACTGTACACCAGATATTTAGAAACTGCTATTGAAATGTGAGAAGTAACCCCACGACTACCCCAGGCCAGACAGGCTCCCTTCCTTACTTCCCTCATGACTGTCTTCCAGTTCTCAAAATCTGGTGTGTAGCTGGGCCTGGTAGCACATGTCTGTAATCCCAGCAACCTTGGGAAGCTGAGACAGGAGGATCACAAGTTTGAGCCCAGCCTAGCAATTTAGGAATTTAGTGAGATATTGTCTCAAAAAAGGGGAGGGGTGTGAAGTAGGTTAGTGAAAAGGCCTTGGGTTCAATCCCCAGTACCGTAAAAGGGGAAAAAACCACAAACATCTTGTGTGTAGGGGAAAATAAGCTATCTTTTTCTTCTACTCATCTTAGGTTCACTGGCTGAGGTCCTTAGCACAATAGACAGATTAATAAGAGAAAAGATTATAGATATATTTAGTATACATTGTCCATGATATAGAAGCTTCAATTAAAAAATGAAGATCCTAAGCAATAGTTAAACCTGAGTATTATTTATAGTGAGATTGATGAAGAATGAGAAGTAGTAGAGCTATCCCATACAGTATAAAAGAATCAGCTAAGCGTAGTAAACTGGGGGAAAGAGTCAGGCCTACTTGTTTAGATTCCTCCCCATGTCTTGGGAGAGAAGCATGACCTTTTGCTTTAGGTGTAGGAAGCACTTCTCACATGCAGTTCCTATGACCTGCCTCTGAGGTCAGAAAACCCTTCCTAGGTTTTATGACCTGTGTCAGGGGAGAAGAGCAAGAGGTCAGAGAAAACTTCTTGCATACGTTGTGATAGTCAGCTTTCCACTACTATAACCAGTTATACAAGATAATCAACATACCATGAGAAAAGGTATATTTTGGTTCTCAGCTGTAAAGGATTCAGTCCCAGGTCAGTTGGCCCTGTTGCTGATGGGCCTGTGGGGAGGCAACAATCACGGTGGGGTGTATGTGAAGAGCTGTTGCCCTTGTGGCCAGGATGTGAAAGATACAAAGAGGGGGGCGAGGCTCCATTTTCTTCCTCAAAGGCATACTACCAATGACCCAGCGACCTCCTAGGAGGCATTACCTCTTTCTTTTTGTTGTTTGCTTTGCTTGTTTGTTATTTTTGTCTGAGTAGGCTCACTATGCAGCCCACACTGGCAGTGAACTTGTGATCTTCCTGCCTCCTGCACCTCAGCCTCCTGGGTGCTGGTATTATGGATAAGCACCAACACACCTGGCAAGGTCTCGGCCCTTAAAAGTTCCTACCAATTTCCGATAGCACTAAGTTGAGGACAAAAGCCTTTAACACACAGGCCTCTGGGACACTTTTCAGATCCAAACTACAGCACTATTTCTCAGATTCCTTCATCTTAAAATACTCCAGCCAGGTATGATGGTGCATGCCTGTATTCCCAGCACTGGGGAGGCTGAGGCAGGAGGATCACCAAGAGCTCAAGGCCAGCTTGAGCTATATAGTAAGACTTTGTCTCAAAACAATACCAAAAAAAAAAAAAAAAAATTCTTTATGCCATTGTTGTGGTTGAGAAGGCACCAGCTAGGTGGCAATAGCTTGCAGGACTGGGTAAGGTACTTCAAAAGGCTGTATATGCTTTAAATCAGCACCCACTATATGGCACTGTGTCTTCCATAGCTAGGAATCATAGGTCCAGGAATCAAGGGGTGGAAGTAGGGATGGTAACACTCACCATAACTCCTAGTGATCCACTAGCAAAATTTCTGCTTCCTGTCCCCATGACCTTACATTCTGCTGGCTTAAAAGTCGTAGTCCCAGAGGAGGCAAGGCTTGTACCAGGAAGCACAACAATGATACCATTGAACTAGAAGCTAAGATTTCCCCTTAGTCATTTTCATATCCTCGTGCCTCTGAGGAAACAAGCTGAAAAGGGAATCACAGTGTTGTCAGAGGTAAATGACCCAGCATATGAAGGGGAAACGGGACTACTCCTCCACAGCGGAGGAAAGGAAGAGTATACGTGAAGTGCAGGAGATGCCTTAGGGCGCCTCTTAGCATTATCATGCCCTGTTATTAAAATCAACGGGAAACTACAACAACCTAATATAGGTTCACTGACAAATGGCCCAGGGAATCAGTGCACTTACCTTTGCACACAGGATAGTTATAACATGTTAGGCCTAATTATAAGCATGTCTTTGTCTCTGGAAACTGGTTTAAAGAAATGTCTCTGGTTGCCAAATTGACAAGGGGTGGATTGTTATGGTTAATACATTGTATCAACCTGAGGAGCCTGGAAGCTTAACTAAGTGACTCAGCAGTTCTACATCCTGGGGTGCAAAGGACACGCCCTTACTGCTCTAGGACGTTCACTGTGTCAACTTGAGAAGTTTAGAAGGTTAACTATGTGACTCAGCCCAGGGCCAGGGTCCTCACTTTGTGTTCACCCTGAGCCTGTGCAAGAGGAAGGCCTGGCACTGGTGTGGGTGCAGAGGACACCGCCCGCCCCACGCCCCACCCCCGGGGCGGGTAGGCTGCATACAATAAAAGGGAAATGAACAAGGACTGATTGCTGGTTCTTCTGAGGAACTCCAGTCTTTGCCTTCATCTCCTGGCTTCTGGTGCAGACTGTTCAGCTTCCACCTGGGACTCTTCAGCCTTCTGGTGTAGCCTCTTCTGCCTTGGTTGTAGATTCTTTAGCATTCCATCGCAGACCCATCAGCCTCCTGATATGGACTTGCATGGACACTGCAGTGAGCACCCCACCTTGGACTAGACTCTTCAATCTCCAGGGTGCAGAGAGTGTCTGCACCCTTCCTCATCTAACTCTGCGGCTGACCATTGTAAGCCAAAGTTGTAGTTTCTTGTCCATTTGTATATCTTGTGTTATATCTGTTCCTCTAGTAAACCCTTGCGGATACAGCCACAATGCTATATTTTAGGGTAACCTGTCCCAAATGCAGCACACATAGAGTTTCTTACTTTTAAGTGTCTTCCTGGGCCACTGTCTCCTCCATCTCTGTTATCTTTTTCCTGGACTAGTTCCATACACTCTTGCTGCTTTGTGCTATTCTCAGGCATGCCACATGCTATAGATACGCAAGCTCCATTCTGCTGGGTAGTCTCTGAAGACAAAGACCTATGCTGGCCCGAATGTGTTGGTAACATAGAGATTGTTTAGAGTGATGAGAAGGCTGGAGACAGACAGACACACACACAGACAAGAGAGGCAGAGAGACAGAGACTGGGTAGTTGGGGAATCTGTCTGCCTCACAGTTCCTGGTAATGTTTGGATTACTGAGCCGTAGGTTCTTCCCTTCAAAACTCTCTGAGGGTCAGCAAGAGAATCACTTTGAATCAATCATTATGATCAAAGCCCAAGAGCATTCTGAATATCTGGCACCAGAAAACTTCTAATCTGAAGTTTCCTTGTAGTGAGACAAGAGCTCTGGGTAGATTTCTACAGCATTGCCTAATTGGGTCTAGGGAACGAAGTCTAATCTCTGAGCCTCTCATCAAACTTTAATTGCTTCTGGGAAAGGACCCGGCCCCACAGCAGCCCTGCCCGTAGTTCCGGAGAGAGTCTTTATGGGCCCTGTGGAGAGTAGCATAGAGCACAGAGGAGAAAGAGCGCTGGGTCCGGAGGCTGGGCATGGCCTGCCAGCCAGCCCACCTAGGCGGGGGTACCTCATCCAGCCCAAAGCTTCAAAGCCACCCTCTGTCTCCTTTTCTCGCAGAACCCCAAGGTCAGGCAACGGCTTTCAGTGGTGGTGGCTTGGACTGGCACCTTGGACCTCTCTACACTTAGGGTCATCTCAATGCAGCAGGTAACAATGGTCAAAGAGTATATGCCATGAAAAAAGCGTGTACCCGGGTGCTGCTGGGGTAGTTCTGAAAGACCTGCTCTGTGGTCATGGCTAGGTGGCACCCAGATGGGCAAAGGACACTAGAACCAGTCACCCGTCCGATGCCAGTAAACTTGCAACCTCCCCACTGGCCTAGCCTGCCTTCCTGCAAGACTCAGTGCAGCCTTCACTGGACCCGGAACGGGGTAAGTGCTGGGTGGTGTGCAGAGAGCTCAGTGGGCAGGCTGGCAGGGAGGTGGACTGGCTGCGGCTGTGGCAAGGGAGCAAGCGTGTTTGCGTGAGCCCAGAAGGTGGACTTGGACCAGAGGAGGAGAGAGGTTTCAGATCCTGGAAGAATTCTGACAACCCAGGTGTCCTGACCAGGACACCATGAGTTCCTGCTGCTCAAAACATTCAAACAGTCCCTGAGAAATCACCCGCTGCAGAGAGGAGCCTGTGAAGGGGGCTGCAGGGTGAGGCCTGGATTGCTTTTGTACTCCAAGATTCTGCCAAGCCTCAGGGGCTATCTTCCTGACACGAAAAGGAGATTTGCCCTAAAAATATTTTCTCGTCTTTTAATCTCTGCTATCCCGAGACAATTCCTTTTGGATATTCTGCCGTTACCAGTTAGGCTCCCCTTCTTCAGAACCATGTGCAATTCACATGCCTCTCTCCTGACCTCAGTTTCTCCATCTGTAAACAGGACAGGTTGGAATAGATCACTGAGCCCCAAGACTGGTAGAATTCAGAAGAGTAGGGGGATGCTTATTTAAAGGACAAAACAAGCAAACAAAATAAAAACAGTTTGCCAAAGCAATCTGCAAAGAAGGACCCAGAAATCAGATGTGAATGGAGGAGGGGTAACTGGGTGTTGAACCCAGGGCCTTCACACTGAACTACATCCCCAGCCTTTTTATATTATTATTATTATTATTATTATTATTATTTGTTTTGTTTTGTTTTGTTTTTGTTTTTGAGGCAGGATCTTGCTATGCAGTTCATTCTGGCCTTTAGCTCACTTTGTAGCTCAGGCTGGTCTCGAACTCACAACAATCCTCCTGCCTCAGCCTCCCAAGTGCTGGGATTACAGGCCTGTGCCACCACGCCCAGCATCCCAGTCTTTTTTAAAAATTTAATTTTTTTTTTTTTTAATTTTGAGACAGGATCTTGCACTGAAATTTAGGCTGGCTTTGAATTCGTTATGTAACCCAGGCTGATCTTGAACTGATAGCACTCATCCTACCTCAGTCCCCTGAGTGCTGGGATTACAGGCATGAGCCACCATGCTAAGCTTGTGCTGCAATTTGTGATCCTCCTGCCTCGGCATCCCAGACTGTTGGCATTGCAGGCCACCACACCCAGCTAGAAAGCAAAGGGAGCCAGTTCCATGTCATTTTAGGGACCATGTGGCAGAGTCTGATGACATTTGTTGTTTGACTCTCACTGTCAGTAAAATTGTAATCATCTACAGTGCCAAGTGGTTCTGGGAGGTTGAGTAGATTTGCAAATCTACTGCAAATTTGATGAAGGTTTGACTAAAGCTCCTACCCAACCCAAACTGGGAAATGTGAGTTTTGAGGGGACTCCAACAATAAGGTAAGATTCTATTCCTCCAGCCAAGTCCCAGAGCAGGAAATATGAAGACAGTCAGGTGTCGTTAGAGGAAGAAGTACATGAGTCCTCCGTAGATGAGATTTCTGGAGACTTTGTGGGGACTCCTTCTTATAGATTCCAGAAATTCAATTTGGTCAGATTTTGCAGAGAAGGGAGTCAAGATCAGATGTACTGATTTACACTGGATTCATAAGAGACTCAAATACAAGCAGACACTGTAAGAAAAAAACTGCTAAAGAGGTAAGAAACTATATTTTCAAGCCAGTACATTTTCTCCCTATAAGGTTCTCTCTGTGTGAAGTCAAATTGTAATATAAACTTCCTGGGTGAGAAGGAACTAGGTGAAAGGGATGGGCCATATGACCTCAGTGGGCAAGATTTCTAATTACATGGCAGAGACAGAATGAGTCACAGGGCCTAGCTTCCCTACAAAGTCCTGGAAATGGCATATGTAAATATATGACATCGCTTTAGGTATATTAATATCACTGATTACACAGAAATGCCCTCCATTTTATTAAATGTCATCAGATTTCCAAGGTTTGCTGCACATCCTAGTTTTTAGATAATTTGGATTAAAGTTGAATTTCAGAGGGTAAGTTTATCTACCATTTTAAAGACTATACGGTGATCATCATGTATTGACTCAAGCAAGTCAAACAGTAAACATGTACTCTCTGCCTTCAGTTTTCCTAGGGATGAAAGAGAAAGCTTGAAATGGAAGCATCCAGCCAGTCTACTATGACAGAATTTGTCTTGCTGGGCCTCTCAGCCCACCCAAAACTGGAGAAAGCGTTCTTTGTGCTCATCCTGTCAATGTACCTGGTGATTCTGCTGGGCAACGGGGTCCTCATCCTGGTAACCATCCTCGACTCCCACCTGCACACACCCATGTACTTCTTCCTGGGGAACCTCTCCTTCCTGGACATCTGCTACATGACCTCCTCCGTCCCTCTGGTCTTGGATGGTTTTCTCACTCCTAGGAAAATCATCTCCTTCTCAGGCTGTGCTGTGCAGATGTTTCTGTCCTTTTCCATGGGAGCCACAGAGTGTGTGCTCCTGGGCATGATGGCGTTTGATCGCTACGTGGCCATCTGCAACCCCCTTAGGTACCCTGTGGTCATGAGCAAGGCTGCCTACATGCCCATGGCCATCAGCTCCTGGGTGGCTGGTGGAGCCAACTCCTTGGTGCAGATCTCTCTTGCAGTACAATTGCCCTTCTGTGGGGACAATGTCATCAACCACTTCACCTGTGAGATCTTGACAATTCTAAAGTTGGCCTGTGCTGACATCTCCATCAATGTGATCAGCATGGGGGTGGCCAATGTGATCTTCCTGGGGGTGCCAGTTCTGTTCATCTTTGTCTCCTATGTCTTCATCCTCACCACCATCCTGAGGATCCCCTCAGCTGAGGGCAGGAAAAAGGCCTTCTCCACCTGCTCTGCCCACCTCACTGTGATGATCATCTTCTATGGGACCATCCTCTTCATGTACGGGAAGTCCAAGTCCAAAGACCCACTGGGGGCAGACAAGCAGGACCTCACAGACAAGCTCATCTCCCTCTTCTACGGCCTGCTGACCCCCATGCTGAACCCCATCATCTACAGCCTAAGGAACAAGGATGTGAAGGCTGCTGTGAAGGGCCTGCTGGCTCAGAAATGCTTCCCCCGGTGGTGGTGGCTATGTCCCCCACCCACACACTCTGAAGATTACCATTCGGCAATCTGAGGTGAAGAATAAGTTGCATTTGAAGGCACGCTTCTCCCAGTGTGGTCAACGGACTGATAATACCAGCCTCGCCTGGGAACTTATTGACAAACAAACTCTTAGGGCCCGCTGCAGACCTACTAAGTTAAATCTTCATTTTAGCAAGATCCATTGGGTGATTTGTATGCCCACTAAACTGAGGAAGTATTGGTTTAAACTGTGTAGACAATGCTGCAGATGGCCAGATGACCATCCCCACCTAGAACTGAAACACTCATCACCCCCGCTGCTGAGCGTGTTGGCAACTGACAGCATTCAGGTGAGTTTCTTGACACTGGAAAAGTCATATTCCCTTCTCAAGGGGAAACTCACGTGCAGCGATTCATCAATGTCACTGTCAAAGCCTCGGCCCCCTCGCCTCCAATGGGGAGACCTCTAAACAACCACCCAGCTTCCCCCCTTTCTTCCTCTGCACAGCGCTGCTGCCTTCACTGGCCCCTGCAGGTGTTTATATGAAGTGTGCGTCCCGGTGAGCATGACTCATGACCGTCTCCCAGGCAGTCAGCCTCTTCGGGCCTGGCCTTCGGTGAACAGCAGTCTCAGCCCAGAGACGTGAGCAGCACGTTCAGGACACGTCCTTTGCAGGGCCTGCCTGCACTCTGACTCCCAGGGAAACAAACTCAATGAACTTCTTTTGTTCAGAGAAAAATTGCTCTCTAACAAGCACTTGTTAAATTAATTTCCTTTAATTTTTACTTTTATAAATGGATTTTGATTCATATTTATGCATGTTTTTATTCCTAGAGAGTAAGCAAGATTGTTTTACCTATGGGGCTGAGGGCCAGTGGTCTGGTCTATGGCATTTTCTTTGGGGACAAAGATGTTTGAGGTCTGGAAAATATGTTGGCTCTTTGACTACAAAAAACCCTGAGCAAAACCTTGTGTTTATCTTCATGCCTACAAAAGGGGACATTGTGTCCACATCAATAATGGATAAATTTTTATGTTCAAGTATCATAATTTTACAATAATCTGTAGACTGGGTACTCCCAGTTTGCAAGAATTTTCATGTTTTCATAATTATTGTTGAAAAATCACAATTATAAATTAATGGAGTCACTTGTAATAATAGAAGCAGAAAAAAATTTCAAACTTACCATAAAGTTAAAATGGGATATAGGTTCAAAGCAACGTGATGTGGGCCAGGACTTCCAAAAGTAAAAGTGTCCAGACTGGGGACAATCATAGGAGGGACCTGATAGTTCCAGATCATATATGTCTGCAATACCTAGAAAGGGAATTAGCGTACAAGTGCTCAATAAAATACACGAGTATCTTTTCCTGATTACCTTTCAGCTTACTTTTGCCCCCACCTGTGCGCAGAATGTTCTGGCCTGTGTGGTTGATAGTTCTGTAGAGGGTTTAAGTGAGGGCTCAGATGGGTCATCTGAGGGCAAGGAGTCCCCCATCAAAGACTTCAGTTCCACAGCCTTTATGGAAATGACAAGAGTGTTGGTAGAGTGACCCAAACCCACACGCTGTATGAGACTCCTGTGTGTTTCTGCTGTGGTGATGCGGGCAATGGTGTCCGTAAGGGAGACCCAGAAGTACAAGAACTCTTATGCCAACTTTCATACCCTCAGTAAAGGATAATTAGTGTCCAAGGTCTATTTACTAGCAAAGCATCATATTTCCATTGAAGACCAATCTTCACTGGTTTCTTTTGCTAGAGATTAGGCTCCAATTCAGAGCTTACCACCTGTTCTCTGCCTCCTCTATCGCCCTCTTCTCAGGGGAACTTCTAACCCCTGACCCTGCTGAGCAGGCATCACCGTATTCTGTACTGAGTGGTTCGTACCTTTCTGGCCCCAGCTGAAGAGTACATGAAAGATTCTCTGTTCTGTGCTATCAGAGACCTCTGATAAACTGGTCTTAGCAAAATTCTAGTTACCTTCCCACCTTCTGACACCAGAGCTACTTGTAAGGCTTGATCTTTCCACTCCCTCACCAACCCCTGAGCTTTCTTCTGCCCCAGTTCTCTACTTCAATCCACAATCCTTGTTCTCCTCTTTACTGTAGCAACAGGGAAGATAGTGCTCAATCGCTCCGGCAGGAAGTGTTGCTTTCTTATTGGGATCTAAGCTGCAAATAGTTTCCTCACTGGCTGGAAATATGAATATCATGACACTTACTGTTTGATAGCATTTAATGTCCTCTCTGGCCATAGTGGCACAAAGCGTGGTGCAGTTGAATCAATTTAATTAATAATCTTTAGTTCTAAGTATTAGAAATCCAAAGTTGGATGAACTGAAAGGATTGAATCTACTGATTTATACGAGCAAACCGCGGGAGGTGAGAGAAGCAGTATGCCGCACCAGCCCAGACATTTCCTACAGCTCTTCTTTTTTTAAAAAAAAGGAGAAATCATTTATCTAGATACCTCGAAAGAAGACATTACAGTTAGCAATTCTTAAAAATTTTTAAATTGACAAGCCAATATTGCATATATTTGTGTTATACAAGATGATGTTTTGATATATGTGTGTTGTGGATGAGCTAAATCAAGGTATTTAACACAGGTATTAGCTTGCATACTTATTTTATTTTGCAGTCATGGAAATGTTTTGGGACTAGATTTAGGTAACAAGCATTGGCAAGGTTACAGGGGATTGGAACCCTCCTAAATTCCTGCTGTGATTAGAAATGACACAGTCACTTTGGAAATTCCTCACAAAAGTTAAACATAGAGTTAACCATATGATGCAGTAATTTCAAACATACACACACACACACACACACACACAATCACCAAAAAATGTGTACACACATGTTCATACTAGCATTATGAAAACATAGAAGAATGGAAACTGCCTATGTGTCTACCAACTGATGCACAAAATATGGCATAATGGTATTTTATTCAGTAATAAAGATAAAGTATTAATGCGTGTTAAAGCACAAAGGGCCCTTAGAAGCATCATGTTAGGCGGAAGAAGTCACACAGAAGACCTTCTATTGAGTGACTTGTTTATATGAAATGTCCCAAAGAGGTAAGCCCACAGACAGAAAGTAGATTAGTGGCTGCCAGGGCCTGGAGGGAGCGGGTAAAAAGTGGGTAATTGCTAGTAGAATAGGGTTTCTTTGGGGGCATTGAAAATGGGCGGGAATTTGATGGCGCTAACAGTTGCAGAACCTTGTGAATATACTAAAAACTACCTGTGTATTTTAAAAGTGTGGCATTTATTGTATGTGAATTTTTTTCTTTTTTGCAGTATTGGGGATTGAACCCAGGGAGTCCTGAGCTTCATCCTCAGCCCTTTTTAATTTGAGACAGGGTCTTGCTAATTTGCTGAGGCTGGCCTTAAACTTGTGATTCTTCTACCTCAGCTTCCCAAGTAGCTGCAATTACAGGCATACATTACTATACCTGGCATAAATCTTTATTTCTTTAAATTCAAAAAATTATAATGGATTTATTTTTTTATTTAATTAAATTTATTGTTAATTTAGGTACTATGGTGGATTAACTAATGGTCCGCTCATAACACCAGCTGAACTGAATCAACATGATTCTATATGTGGAGGCCCCACCTGAGGATTGTTGCCAATGATATAAAAAGGAAAATTGAAGGGGAAGAGGGTGCTGTTGATTCTCCTGGAAGCCTGTCATGCTGGTTTTCCTGACATGAACTCAGCTGTTCTCATCATTGCAGGAGCTCGGGTCCTCATCATAGCTGAGGATGGCTACAGCTCTCTTCAGGGAAACTCTGGCCCTTACTTTGAGCATCGCTTCCTGGCTCCAGTGCAGACTCTTCAACCTGCTGCACAGATCCTTCATCCCACCGGCCAGACTTTCTACCTCCCACCACTGACCTTTGGGCCTTCCCAGTGCAGATCTTTACTACAGACTTGCATGAGACATTGTCGTGGGCTCTAGGCCTCCAGCTGGACTCGTGCAGGACATTGCCGTGGGATCCAGGCCCTCAGCTGGATTCTTCGGGTCTCTAGTGTGTGGACAGATCTCCCACACGCTTTTGCATTTGACTTTTTGGGTGAATATTATAAAATAATCCTATAAATTATGTGTCCTCTCTTAAATCCATTCCCTGTAAACTCTGACCACAACAGGTACATAATGACCACGTTCATTATAGGGAATTTGTACCTGTTCGTGATCTATCTTGCTTCCTCTTCTTTTCTCCCATTTCCTTCCCTTTAAACCTACTTCCCCTCCCCATTCACAAAACTCTGATTCTGTTTTATCCTTGTTTTCTCATTTTTTCTTTTCTCTTCCTTCCTTTCTCCCTCTCCCTTCCCTAGTTCCCTTTTCCTTTTGAACAGTTTTTTCCTATTTCACAATACCTATTGTACATTTTGGTTATTATTTACACTTTCAATTTCTCACACCAAAGAGATAATGTGATATTATGTGAGTGTCTAATTCATTTCACTTATGATTATAGTCTCAAGGTCCATCCATTTAACTATAAATGTCTCAATTTTATCCTTTATGGCTGAGTAATACTCCATTATTTAAAAAGCACATCTTTTTCATCCATTCATTGGTTGATGAGCTTTTGGGTTGCTTCCAAGATTTAGCTATTACAAACTGTACTGCTATAAACATGATGAACACATATTGTTGTGGTATGATGTTTTTAATTCTTTCAGGAAGATACTCAGAGGAGAATAGCTGGGTCAAACGGGACCTCTAGTCCTAGTTTGTTGAGGAATCTCCACATTGATTTCCACAATGTCCACAGTGATTGCACCAGTCTACACTCCCACCAACAGCAGGGAAGGGTTCCTTTTCCCCCACAGCCCTGTGAGCATTTGTTGCTGGTTGATTTCTTGGTGATAGCCATTCTTTCTGGGGTGAGATGGAATCTCCATGTTGTTTGAATTTGCATCCCTTGAATGACCAGTGATGTTGAACATTTTTTCATGTATTTATTTGCCATTTGTACTTTTTTCTGAGAAGTGTGTATTCATCTCAGATGCCCATTTTTGGATTGGGTCTTTTAATTTGAGGGGCCCAATTTTTTTCAGTTCTTAATATGTCTTAGATATTAACTCTTTGTCCAGGAACAGCTGGAAAAAAATTTTCTGACTCTATGGGTTGTCTTTTCACTTTGTTGGTGATTTCTTTTGCTGTGAAAAGCTTTTTAATAAAATGAGATCCCAGTTGTTCATTCTTTATAATAATTCCTGTGTGATTGGAGTTTTGTTCATAACATCTTTGTCTACATCTATGTCTTTAAGAGTTTTACCTATTTCATCTTTCAGAAGATTTAGTGTTTCTGTTTAACATTTAGATCTTTAATCCCTTTTTGTTTTAGTTCAGTGCATGGTGATAGGCACGGGGCTAGTTTTAGTCTTGGGCATGTGGACAGCCAGTTTTTCCAGCATCATTTATTAAAGAGTCCATCTGGAAAGTGAACATGTTTGACCTCTTTGTCAAAGATCAGGTGACTGAGTGTGTTTGGAGATATTTCTGCATCTTCTAATGTGTTCCAGTGATCCTCAGGTCTTTGTTCGTTTGTTTTGCCAGTACCATGCTGATTTTATCACAGTAGCCCTGTAGTATAACTTCAAGTCAGGGATTGTGATGCCTCCTGCCTTGCCTTTGTTGCCCAAGATTTCCTTTGCTATTTTAGGTCTCTTCTGGTTCCAAATGAATTTTAGGAATGTTTTCTCTAGTTCCATGAGGTA